GAAGCCCTAGCAGGTCTCATACCTGTCCACCTTATGCTGAAGAAGCTGGCAACGCGTGCAGTGTATCGCGTAGCCACCCTCTCAGACACTCACCCTCTTCGCTCCATGATGGGCGAGGGACTCCTCAAGCGAGCCGTACCACATGCTCGCTCCGCTGCATTGATGACCCCAGCTATGCGAGGGAAAGTCAAGAGCACTGTCATGGAGGTGGACGAGCGTGTCCACACCTTAACTGAGAGCTTCGAACCTTTTGCACCCAAAGCTCGCCCAGGTGATCGGTTACTGGACCGCTATGCGGACCATCTCCACTTTGACGAGCGTGACCCTGGTCAGGATAGGCGCCCATATCTAGACGAGCTCATCGTGAGAGCGAGGGCTGACCCACTAACAGTGCTGGCTGCGACCAACGGCTCTGTCCCTCAGTCCAACCAGTATCAGGCGGCTTCGGCTGCCATCATCTACAAGGGACATCGCGAGCTCGAGAGGACTCGCTATGTCTCTGGCAGAGTCACCGCCCCAGATGCGGAACTCAATGCCATCTCGTGCGCAGTGCGCCTTGCTGTCAAGCAGGCAAACTGCCAACATATTATGGTCTTTACTGACTCTATGGGCTCAGCCCATAGAGCGGTTGACCCCGGCGTGCATTCTGGTCAGGCTTTCAGCCTGTCAGTTTGTCGCGTTCTTCAAGAGTGGTTTGAGGCAGACGATCTCCGCCACATTACCTTTGTTTACGTCCCATCCGCCCTGCGGTGGGATATCCATGGTGAAGCACACAAGTACGTCACCGAGCTCAAAGTCAGGGTTGGACGTCGCAAGACGGACAACTCTATAGACACGCTCCACTCCAAAGCCACACACTCAGTCCTGGATTCGTGGAGTTCCACTTTCCAGCATCCAACCTACCGAGGCTCTGAGTTTTTAGAGCTTCAACAGCCTGACGGGCAGCCGCTACAGCCATCGTACCTCAATGGGGGACCTTGGCTTTCAACCTTCGGACACAGTATTACTGAGTTTGCTCACGTTTGCCAGTGTATGACTGGCCATGTGCCCATTGGAGCGTATTACCGTCGTTTCAAGATCAATGAGCCTCACGGCTGCACTTGCAGGGCTGCTTTGCAGTCTCGCCAGCATATCCTCTTTCGCTGTCGCGATAGATATTCTGTACATTATCCCCGTTTTCTCGGGGATATTGCATCTTTTATGAAGTACAACCCTACAGCGTTTGGCTTCAACCGAGACCCCTCGGGTGTCGGATAATCGTTGCGGGTGGGGTTGTTCCTCCTTTCGGGGGATTTATGGTGAATTGACACCACCGAGCTCTAGGGTTCGAAGACCTGCGCCTACCGCTATTTCTTTGCGCTTGCGGCCGCTAACTCTCTGCGTCTGGTTTCGGGCAGGCGCTTCTCTGGCTGGTCGGCCTCAAGACACCCTGCCACCTCCCGGGTGGTGCTGTTTTATCTCATTTGTGCTGCGTGGCCTCCGAACAGCGTCTGACGGCTTTGGGGTTTAGCGGGGCCTCGATGGTCTCCTCCCCTTATCCCACGTCACCGTTTTCGCGAGGTGGGTCTGGCTTTATGGGAGTTTAGGCGTTTGAGCCATAAGGCTCGTGGTTGGGGGGGCGGACGTCTTTCAGTAGTTTACTTAGTACCCAGGCCGCGTAGTGTACGTGTTTGTAGATAGCAAGCGGGCTGCCATCAAGCACCGCTATATAAATTGTTGAAAAAAAAAAAAAAAAAAAGAAACATATCTATGGATAACGACATGATGGGACGTAGACGAAGGTAATACGGCGGAGATCATCCGGCTCAAACCACTCTTGAAGAGCGCGGCAAACTGACAGGTGTTGTTTGGGGGTACCCCTCCCGACCTCACGAAGTTTTTCACCGAGTTGGCTGTGCACATGGCCAACAGGTACCTCAGGGATGGCCGCTCCATGTTGAAGGTCACCTCTATCGTCCACACCTACGATGGTCTGTCGTTGGTCACCCCCGCTGTTGCCAGCCCATCCAACCTGGACATACTGCGCAACTTCATCCATGAGAGCCTCCCAACGGATACCCTGTTCAAGGTCACGCTTCCATCGTCGACGTCTTTCATAAAGATTCTCGATGTTCCCTACTTCGACCCTAAAGGGCTGAAGATCACCCAGGAGGCGCTTGAGAAGGCCCTCCATACCTTGGTTCATGCTGAGGTCTTTGCATATCTGAGCACCAAGCCTTGGATAGATTGCAACTCGGCACACTCAACATTGTGCACCATCTATTGCAACCTTTGGGACTCCCAGCAGGGAACCCGTGCCAAGAAGGCCCTTGGCCAACTGATCTTCCTTGCTGGACGGTCCTGCGCAATCAGGTCTGCCGCTGCACGACACACCGGGGTCCTGCTCTGCCAGCGTTGCTGGAAGTGCGGCCATCCTACTGTCGCCTGCAAGGCGAAACAACTCTCCTGCCCTATCTGTTTGGGTCCACATGAGCAGAAGGAGCATCGTCAACATGCGGGATGTTGCAAGGGGAACATGAAAGCGAAAGCCCCCGTGCCGCCCACCCCTCACGACCAGCCCTGCCCTCACAAGGGCTGCTGCATCAACTGCCACAAGGACCATGCCACTAACTCAGCGTCGTGCAAGTTCTGGGCCCATCACTTCGACCGTGAGTGGATCATGGCCAAGTATCATCAGGTATGTGAGCACGCTGCTCGCCGCCAACTTACTGACGCCCGAACCTAGACCAATGTTGGGAAACCTTCAGGATCTAAGTAGTGGATTACATATTTATTGTCAGAACGTTTGCCATACCTATGCCCACATCGATACACTTCTCGAAATTTGTAAAACCAAATTTGATATTTTATTCTTCCAAGAAACACCTTGGAATTTCATAAGGCACACACTGTCCACCACTAGCATGGAGGGTGATGAGGTTATCGGCGCACCAAAGCATCCTGATTGGTTGCAAATGGTGTGTATTAAGGAGGGTGAAGTCCCTCGTGTGATTGCCTATGTTTCGACTAGGCTTTCCTGCTATCGTCCTGCTATACACCATGACATCGTGGACCATCGCGACATCCTCATCCTGTCCCTCTTCAGTGGGGGAGAGGTTCTTAATCTAATGAACGTCTACTCTGATGATCAACACACAGCCATTGAGCATTTAGCTGCTCATGTGCATTCTCTTCCAGCCTTCATATATATGGCAGGCAACTTTAACTGCCTCTCGATGACTTGGGATGATTACGATCATGGCGAGTCGTCGACAGTGATTTCCCTGCAGGACACCGCATCTCAGATCGGCCTTGAGTGGGCTCGACCTTCTAATTTTTTTTTTTTTTTTTTTTTTTTTTTTTTTGATCAACAATTTATATAGCGGTGCTCGATGGCAGCCTGCTCGCTATCTACAAACACGTACACTATGCGGCCTGGGTACTAAGTAAACTACTGAAAGACGTCCGCCCCCCCAACCACGAGCCTTATGGCTCAAACGCCTAAACTCCCATAAAGCCAGACCCACCTCGCGAAGAACGTAAAGGGGAGGAGACCATCGAGGCCCCGCTAAACCCCAAAGCCGTCAGACGCTGTTCGGAGGCCACGCAGCACAAATGAGATAAAACAGCACCACCCGGGAGGTGGCAGGGTGTCTTGAGGCCGACCAGCCAGAGAAGCGCCTGCCCGAAACCAGACGCAGAGAGTTAGCGGCCGCAAGCGCAAAGAAATAGCGGTAGGCGCAGGTCTTCGAACCCTAGAGCTCGGTGGTGTCAATTCACCATAAATCCCCCGAAAGGAGGAACAACCCCACCCGCAACGATTATCCGACACCCGAGGGGTCTCGGTTGAAGCCAAACGCTGTAGGGTTGTACTTCATAAAAGATGCAATATCCCCGAGAAAACGGGGATAATGTACAGAATATCTATCGCGACAGCGAAAGAGGATATGCTGGCGAGACTGCAAAGCAGCCCCGCAAGTGCAGCCGTGAGGCTCATTAATCTTGAAGCGACGGTAATACGCTCCAATGGGCGCGTGGCCAGTTATACACTGGCAA